GCGAATGCTTCCGCTTTTCAGCCTTCTGCCACTCTCAAAGATGGTAGTGAGCTTCAGCAATACGTGGCGGATGAAATTGCGGCGAACCAGGCACAGCCTGCACTTCATCCGGCCGTCTTGACATTCTTGACTCAGCTTGCTCAAGTGACTCAAAATCACAGTCTACCGCAGCTTCTTCAGATCTTGTCGGGCCTTCAAGGGACTCAAGGCAGCGTAAATCAGCCGCAAGCATTGAGCGCAGCAAGTCCCGCTGGCTCTTCTTACAACGCAAACCCGTCCAGCCCATTCCAAGGCATTGGCAATGCCGTTCATGCGCATCCGGCGCTGGGTAGATCTGCTCTCGCCCAGTCTCCGGCGTCACCGTCCTCTTCCTCGATGCATAGCGTGTATCAGCGAGAGCGTCAAGGTACAGAGCATGCTGCACACCGCCAGTCGTATCAGTCGTTTGAAATGTCCGCAGCAGCCTCGACCGATCCTCAAGCCGAGAGACAGTCTTTCCGCTCCTTTCCCCAAGGCTTGCGACTTGGCTCTTCATCGCGGTCGCGCGCAGAACGATTCCAGCAGTCTGATCCTGGCGGACATGCACAAGCAGTGGACTCATCGTCCATCACACCATTCGCCTACTTTGAGCCACTGAATGGACCTATGCCTACGCCCGCATCATCCTCGAGCGTGCCCGGGACGCCGCTCGAATATGGAAATCAGTCCATGCCAGGATTAGGAGTAGGTTCGCCCGATAGCTACCGGCCGCGGACCGCCACCTTTCCAGGCCAGGCGTTCGGCAACGATCCAACCAGAGCTAGCCTCTCGGATAATCAAAATACAAATCCAACCGCTCCCCCGCTCCCCAATCCAGTCTCTGGTCTAATCGGTGATTGGAAGTCTAGCCCCCAGACACTCTTTCCTCCTGACGGCTCTGGCGAAGGTGATGCTGCTGCTTCACCGAGCAACAGCAATGCTGGTGGCAATGGAAGGTCCGAATGCTCCAATTGCGGCGCGACTTCGACGCCTCTGTGGAGAAGAGACGCCAACCTCAAGTTGCAGTGCAATGCCTGTGGGCTCTATCTCAAGCTCCACAAGGGTGAGTCGAGGTTGTACCGCCCTAGCGAATCTATTCCGGGGGATAAACTGAAAACCATTGTCTTTTGTCGCCAGTCCCGCGCCCGCACGCTCTCAAGCAACGCCGAGCCGAACGTGTCGCCAAACAAGCTGCAGGCGAGAGCAGCGGCGCAACCAACACCTCAACTGGAGGGGACGAATGGATCGGCATACACGCGGGCGCCTCATGTGCAAACTGCGGAACATCCACCACACCCCTGTGGAGGAAGGATCTCGATGGGAGAATCATTTGCAACGCGTGTGGTGAGTAGCTGGCACGCTTGCCCGCCTGGTCGAGCCGAAAAGACTCAATTGCCTACCTCGTGCGTTCCAGGTTTGTACTACAAGCTTCACAATGCGCATCGACCTGTGACGATGCGCGCTGATGTGATTCGCAAACGCACGCGTTATGACGACCGCCGAGGCACGAACGCGGGCACGACGCCATCAACACCAAAAGCCGAGTCGGTGGGCTACTCTAATGAAAATGAAGGCAGGCCCTCGGACACCAAGCCTGCCAACGAGGAAGGCACGTCGGGCAACGGCGCTGCTGCATCGCATCACTTTGCGCACTCTCAGAAGCGCGATTCTTCATCGTTGGCTGCTGAGACCAGCGTCTTTTTGCCACCGCAATTGCTGGATAGCCAAGCGTGTCCCATGGGAGCGTGGGGCGAGGCTTGCTGCCAAAATCTCCCTCAAACAGCTCCTCAGGCTTCGGACGTCATACCAGCTCTAACGGCGTCTAGCTCGACCTCCACCTCTGCTAGCATAGCCGAGGCACTCCGATTGCTGGTGTCTGCAGGGAGTCATCTTCCTCAAGGATTGCCCCAACAGCAGCAGCACCAGCAGCAGCACCACGGCAGTAGCGCGTACACTGGCGCATCTCTTCCCGCTGACTGGGCAGCCAGTCTTGGTCTCGGCACGTTACTAGAGAATGCAGCTTCGGGAGCAGGAGCCAACAACAGCGTCAACATTCCTCACCACAGTTACGCATTGACAGGCGGCGCTGTGCCAGGCACTAGCACCGCCACGACGCATGGTGCCATCGACGATCAGGCTCGTAAACGCCAGAGGATAGAGCATCTTGGCTCCGCAGCTCCTGCGCCGTCCCCTTCCATCAGCTCCCCCTCCGCACCACCACACGATCGACCTCCGTCCGAGAACAGCCTGCCGCAGGCGCTCGACGAAGCTTGGTGGGCTTCCTGGCAGGGTCACGACCCTGCGGGCCAAGGGCCTGCCTATTCCTATCAGGCGGATGAAAGACGCAGCAGTCCGCTGCAGCGCACTCAAACGCACTGACCTCGAGCGGTCGCATAGGCATTGCGCCCCGACTGTAGAGATCCGAGGCAACCAAAAGGGACCGTCATGTACTATATCATGTGTAGGATCCTGCAATCATGAATGCAACTTTGCACTCCTCGTCACGTAGCCTGAAGCTTCACGTAAAGCATGGATTGGGGCGTGTCGTAAGTAATGGTAATAGCACAGTGAGTGCCCAGACCTATAAACTTGTGTGCACCGGCCATCGACTGAACGACAAAGCTTTATTCGAATCGACGCTGTTCAATGCGTGCCGAGCCTGCGTGGTCTCTGATCCTCTCCCACCCTCATCTCTTTTGCCACTCTCCGCCTTGTCTCTCTGTACCTTTCGTAATCATCACGTCAATCGTGTCGGTGTCCCACTTTTGCCCGAGTATGCGTACCAAGCTATGCCCACGGCGAACAGGCTTGCGGCAGCCATTGCCGCCGGCACAGGCTGCAGAAGAATCGAGAGAGCACAGTGATGAGTCAACGGGCGTGCGGACGCGTGCAAATCGTTTTGGAAGCGCGCACTCACCTCGACGGATCCATTTTTAGACAGCATCGCCAGGAAGGGATTTGATTTGAGACCCGCACTCGAGCTGGCACCCGCTCCAGCCCGAGAAGAATGCGATTTGCCAGCGACAGATCCAGCTGGGCTGGTAGCAGCAGTGCTCGTAGGCTCCGCGGACTCGCCGCTGGCACTGGAGCCCACGGATCGAGTAGCCTCGGATTGGCCGTCTGCCACACCTCGACTCTCTGCATCGTCGTCATCGTCGTCCGTCGAGCCTTCTTCTAGATGTGACTGTGTGTACAACAGTGACCTCAAAACGGGGTTCACGTGCCGCTTACCAGCTCCTCGCTTGGCGTTCTTTGAGCGAGGTGAGCTGCCTCGCGATGAGGTGGAGGCTGAAGGCGAACGTCTCACGCTTGATGTGCTGGCTATCTGGGCCTCCGATTCCAGGCTAGCGTTAGCTTGATCCCAAGCCTGCACCACTCTTCGCATCTGCTCCCTTTCGTCTGCCCATCCTTGCCTCTCTTTGGTCCAAGCAGCTTCGAGCGTTGCGCGCCATTCCGCCCAACGCCCTTCGAGGGCGCTTACAGCCGCACCTTGAGCACGCTTCTCGCTTTCGACAACCTCCTTCTCGAGCGTGACCATGCGCCCTTCCAGCGTGCGGACAGCCTCGCTGGCTGACGCGTGCTGAGCTTGAAGTCCTCGTCCAAGCGTCAGCGCCTCTTCGAGTTGGCCCTCTAGCGCCTCGAGCCTACCAGAAAGGGCCTGATTTTGTAACATCAATGCGGCCGTAGTTGTGTGCGGGGGTTCATCAGGAGGCGCGCGTGGCCCTTCGTGCTCATCCTCATGGCTGCTAGATGAGGCGTCCAGGTCATGCAGCGCCTCTTCTCCACCCGCACCAGCAGATGATGGCGCAGCTCGAGTCTGAGCAAGCATTGAACGGGGTGATCTTCGACCTGTGGTACCCCCAGTGACGGTGTCCATGCTGGCGATGCTTGCGCCATCATCGAAGTCTCCAGCAAGACTCTCGCCGCTCACTGAGCTGCCTCTGCCTGCTGCAACTTCTTGGATTTGCGCTTTCATGCTGTCCACTTCTTGCTTGATGGACTCGTGCTCGGCCAGCACACTCTCTAGGTTGCGGATCTTTTCGACGTGTTCGGCAAGACTGGCCTGAGTGCTTGCAAGCTGCTCTTGCAATGCAGCCACGCTTGTCGAAGGTGCGCTAGAGTCTGAAGGATGTGCTGGTACCATGTGCTGGTAAGGAGGGTTCTGCATCGGTGGCTGTAGAGCATCATGAGGCCAATTTGGATTTTCAGCATTTGAAGTGCCGCTCATACGAACAGACAACATGCGAACTCACCATACCGCCTTGCATCGTTTCACCGACCTCGGTGATGGCGTGCGCAAGCCCGCCTAGCTCTGAGGAGTGATCACGACTGCGCTGAAGCTCACTTTGCAACTTCGAAAAGATGTGTTCGAAGCTCATGCCGCTCTTGCCTCGTCGAAGTCCGCCTTCAGCGCCCGGTCCCATACCACTACCTCCCATCACTCCTCCGTGGCCTCCACCTCGATAAAGGGAAGCAAAGTCGCTTCGCATACCCAACGCCTCTTCAGCTGTGATTACGAGGTAGACACGCGCTTCCACCTTGTGGTGAATGATCGTCTTATTGTCATCGCCCACAATGTCGATACCAAATTCTACCAGGTCTTCGTTGCGCAGCTCAAAATTAGACGACTCCTTGCTCTCCTCGGACAAGCGCTGCTTGTTGATAAAAGTGCCGTTCGAGGAGCCGACGTCCTTGATAAAGATCTGCGAAAGGGCTCTGGATGCGTGAGCCCCATACGTGTCGAGTGCGGACGCGGAAGGGGCATCGCTGAATGTAGCGACTCACCTTGCCATCTTGGGACCAAACCTCGGCATGGGTGCGGCTCAGGACTTTGCTGTCAAAGAAGCCGTTAGTCGGGTGCGGCACGGTCTTGTTATTCGTTTGCCTTCCGATCTTGACCCTGTTGGTGGCGCTAGGAGGCGACAGGCTGATCTGCTTGGGTGCAAATGTGTCGTTCAAGGGGTGGAGGTGTAGTGCGGGATAGACGAGTCCAGCGGGTCCGTGATTGTTGCCGTTCTGCCCATTGAGCGAAGCCGCACCATTTGTGTGCCCTGCAGCACCACCTGCAGCATTCCCACCATTGTAGGCCGCTTGCCCTCCAGTGATCCCACCCTGAGGTCCTGTAGCAGAGGGCGCCATTGGAACGCCTCCGAATGCTTGCATAGGAGATGCGTTGCGTATTGCTGGCATGCGCAGACGAAGCGCTAGACTGGAGCTGTCTGTGATGTCGCTAAAGGTGTCACTCGCTGGAGAGTCGCAGTGCTGTCCGAATCTGATGCGTGAATCGTTCGAGGGTCGATACTGAGACGAGGCGTGTGTGCAAGGGTCGCAGGGGCGGTCGGGGGCGCATGAGGCACCGCGATCGTCAGCGAGCCAATGACAGGGGGCGAGTGAACTTGTTCTTGAAATTACAAGGCTTTTTTTGACTCGGACAAGCAAGAAGAGTATCAGTGAAGGGTACGACTGTAGAAGTGTTGGGCAGACAGCCAAGAGAGCAGAAAGATGATGATGATGATGACGATGGGTCGGCTAAGTGTCGCTAATGCTCGATCGAAGTCGACACATTCTCCCCGTGGAGATGGCGATTGCGATGCAGGCCTTGCGCCGCTGTGCGATGATCAGCGCGCGCTCATCCATCTCCGCAGGGCGTGGGCTGCGAAGGCGAACTTTAGGGAGACATGCTGTATGCCGGTGTGGCATCAACGGTGCGGTTTGGTGCACACCAGGTGCGTGGCGCGGCGCGCGTGACTTCACACACGCGCGTTGGAGTCGCGGCCATGCAGTGCGCGCTCGCGCTCGCCCCCCTGCTGCTGCTGCTGAATCGCGGGATCATGCATCATCGATCGAGCTTTTCTATTCTGCCGCGCGTGTGATGACTGAGCTTACAAGGAAAAGATTAGAACAAACCTCGACGTCAATATAGTCAAGCATAATCGTGAATCAGTGCGCTTGCTTCCAAAGGCGCACAAGATTAAAGAACTCCTCCATCTTGATTTGTGATTTTTGATTCTTGATTGAAAGTCTTGCGAAAATCTCAAATCTCCACACAACATCAACCTTCTTGCTCGGCGGTGGGAAGTCGTGGGCTACCAAGAGTCATGATGCTAATCTTGAGTCAAGAAATGTATCCAATCTTCGATCACGCACTCGGTGTCCATAGACTCGCGCGAGCGACCATTGAAAGCCCTCGGATCAATGCCAAGATCATATGGCTGGATCGCAACAGAAAATGTGACATTCTCTATGACTACAATCTTGAAAGGCGACCTTTAATGACGACGAGCAAATCGCTTCTTCGCTCTGGTGTCTGAACTCTCGCCATGTAGCCATGCTAGATTTTCATCGAGCGTTGCAGCTTCAAGCCACAAGTCACAATGGCCTCGAGTCCGATCGAGACGACTATCCCAAGCCCAGCTCACACGAGTGTCTGACACGATCCTGTGGATAGCAGCGAAATCGTCGACAACTTCATGTATTCGGCTTCGACGACGGCGACACAAGAATGGGGTATACTTGTCGACAAGCAGCGACTCGACTTCGGGTGTGGCATATTTGAGTACATTATGAGGCAGAGGAAGAGAGGGAAAAGAGCACCAGTGAAACGTACGCGAGTAAAATAAGCGAAACGAGGAAGGTGGAGCATATAGCTCCCACGCTTTGCCGGGGAACATACAAGACTCGTGACGAAGAGCGCTGAGTTGAGCGCTGGCTCTTCAAGGACCTTGCCAAGGCACGCGACCTCTTCGAGGGCTCGACTCGCCGCGTTGCTCAGGATAGTAGTCATCCTGCTCAGCAAGCGGGTGCGTGTAGCCTTGATGTGAATGGGCACGTGGATGCGCGTCGTGTCCACGCTCACCGCTATAATCCGTCTCTCGTCCGTAATCAGAGATGCCGCGAACGGGTGGCGGTCGAGAGCCCTGAGCCAGAGTGCCGCGAAGTGGCGGTAGTCGACGATCTCCCAGATCCGGGATCGGTGGCATAGCGCCCGAGAAAGCGGAGCGTGGAGAAACTCGAGCCATTGGATCGCTGACCGATCTGTCCCGGCTTGCATGCGGCACACTCAGGTAGCCGTCTTCGTCAATGCCACGGTCCATTGCCCCGTGATGAGATGGTCTTGCTACGCCTCGCACTCCGCCTGCTTGTTGTCTGAGATCGGACCTTATGGGCGCTAGAGCAGGAAGTCTGGATGGGCCGTGCCTTGGAGAGCTGTGATAGCCGCTGCGAGATCCCTCACTACCATCCTCCATGGAAATGTAGCTTGAGCCAGAGATGTTGCGAGGCCGATGGCTACCTTGCGGGGTACTGTGCTGGTATTGGTATGACCTCGTCTCCGAAGGGCTAGGCGGACGAGATCGACTTTGCGCCGGAGGGGCAAACGCAAACGGTAATGACGGACGTCGGGTTTCCGAGTGTGGCATTGACTGCTGAGCAGGCGAAGCAGAGTACGCCAGTCCACCGGAAGGGTGGCGTGACCTAGCGCCATGACTGTCCTCAGGATGAGCGTACTCTTCGCGGACTGGTCGAGAAGCATGTGTCGGCCTGTACGTCTCCTGCTCGCGGTGTGGTCGCACCATTGCAGGAGGAGGTCCGAAGACTTGAGAGGCAGGAGGCCGTCCCTGCATCATCGAGTAGCTCTCTCGATCGTAGCGGCGTTCGTGCGCATAAGAAGGGGAGTAAGAGTATCCTCGCGGGTCCCTCAGCTCTCCGCCTGGAGGTAGCATCCGATCGGCTTGGCGGCTGTAAACACCATCGTGGCTGAGAGGACCATTCTCGTCACTCCGAACTCGCTTCTGGTCGCGCCACGATGGATCATCATAGTAACCTTGAAGACCCGCACCAGTTTGACCGTCAGAGTCGTCGCTGTAGTCGCCGTCTTTGCGTTTGTTGCCCGCTCGACCTCTCCGAAGGCGTGGATTCTTGCGAACACGGACCTTCAGACCCTGATCAGCGAACGACTTTGATAACAAAGTCGACTCTGTGAACAACGAGTTAGTGAGCAATCAGGCCTGCGTCAGTGCTCTCTTCCCTCGAGGCGTTGCCAGACGCGCGCGCGCTCGACTCACCCTCCATGCCCGGAAATCTTTTCGCTGTGAACACGTTGAATGGGTCGGAGAAGATAGACTTGCAATGGTGAACCTCGTGCCCGATCGTCTCGAACAGACAGAGCTTAAGGCGGTATCGACCATCGACTCGTATGCTCAAGTCAGGGAAGACGAAGAAGCCTTGATGGCTGCCATCGATGTCCTTGAGGTGGTACAAGCAGGATACGCAGCTGCCGGTAGTATAGCGCGTCTTGCCGTCCTGAAGCAGGTGCAGCTCCTCATCGGTTTCGGCATCGGCGAGCATCGCATACATGAAGTAGTAAGGGTTTTCTAGATACCACGCTTTGTCTTCCCATCCTTCACCCCAGTCGGTCATGACTGGAACGCCGCGTCGAACGCGCGAAGTGCTGCCTCCAGTGCCGATAACTTGACCGTAGCTGCTCTCGGAGGTCATTTGAGCAGAGCCTGGAGGTCCATCGTGCGTGATGACGCGAAGTTGGATGATCGGTGCAGGGTCAATGGGACGTCGGTCGGCTGCGACGAGGCAAGACAGCAGACAGTCAGAATTAGGTACATTGCTGTGGCAGACACAGAGATCAGTCCATCGCAGAACTGCTAGGTACTCACCCTTCTCGCCGACGCCGCACATCCGGGAATGCTTTGGCTGTTCGCGAAGCGTCAGCTGGTATTCACTGGGTGTGAAGAGGCAGCGGAAAATCCAGTGTCACAGATCAGCGTCTCTGCAGAATTCAGGCGTCGGCAACCAGTAGCGTGACATCAACTCACATGTTTTCTCTCCCAGCTGTGATCTGAGAAACGGCAGTGTATTGATAAGCGACGCTTGTCCCCTCACTTGAGTGAATGTCTGCTTGAGCTACGGCGCTTGGTGCTCCCGTGCTCGTCGAAGGGCGTTGACTGTCTCGCATTCTGGGCCCGGTGCTTGACGGACTATTTGTTCCGGCTGTCGCAGGTCTTCGATTCGCACTACGAGATTCAGAAGTGGCGGGTGGCGACGCATCAGCGCTTTTCGTCTTGTTGTGGTGGGATACGGCTTCGTCAACTGCCATTGGCGATGGCAACGCTGAGCGTTGCTCTTCGCGTCGTGGAGAGACGCTGCGCCGCTTGGCAGGTGGGAGGGAAGGGCCCATCGATTGCTGTGGACCGGAAAGTAGATCAGACATGGCGAGAGGAAAGCGGCCTGGCCGCTGACGAGGCACAGCGCTTTCTTCTCCACCTTCCCTCGCGGGAGGGCTTCGAGATCTCTTCGTACCACGTCCCTCGTCCGTGGACATCTTGAAATGCTGATGGTCGAAGTCGTCAGGTGGGACCAAGTCCAGATCGCTGCGAGATGAAGGGCCAGGACTAAAGTGCTTTGGCCACTTCAAATCAGAGTACGGCTGGGCGATTTGATGCATACGTCGCAGAAGGGTGGAGGACGCGAAGGATGTTTAACAATCTTGCTGGCTTGGGCGATCTCGGTGAGCAGCGCTTGCGGCTTTGCGTGTCGACAGCTGTTGCGGCGCTTGTCGTTGCCTGTGATGGTATTTCTTTTCGCTGCAAAAGGTGAAAACCAGTAGAGTGAACGTGGGTCAATGAGCACTCTAAAACAAGCGGTTGCGTCTTGAGCGGCGGGCCGCGCGTGAGAAGCGTTCCTGACCCGCGACCGCAAGGGAGCATGACTGATCTCGAGCCCAAGGAGGTGCGCTCGACAATCATGACTCTTCCGGCCTTTTCAACTGGGATTGCGATGTCTATGGTAACGGCACCTCGCACAAGCCAGCCAGCTATTCAGGCCGAGCCGGCGCAAAGGTGGGCAGAGCGATTGCTGCACCGCAGAGCACTCTCGACTGAATCCGGTGAAGTCTCTGCTTTGCTGACCTTTCCCTAGCGTATGGCGCACGTACCGTGGTTGGGTGCTGCTTCATCCCTGATAAGGCACATGTACATGTACAGCAGCAGCAGGATTAGGAGCATCTGAAACCTAAGAACGACACTGACGCAGGTCCGAGTGGAGTGCTCGATTTGAGCCAGGTATCATATCCAATCCCCGCGCGACTCTGCAGCGAAGCCTTCTGTAGCCCGGATAGCTGAGAATAGGAAAGGTCGCGCGGGGGGTTTGATATCTGAGACAAGTTGGCCCTTCCCACGAGATCGGACGCTCGCTCTAGACGCAATCACCTCGCGGTAATTACTCGGTCAAAAACAGAGGGCAGTCGCGGCAGTAGGGCAGCAAGAGGCGCAGCGCGATGGACAGGCTCCGTGATCTACTGTATACGACATAGCTGTTGTAAAGCTGCTGCCCAAGAGCGCCCCTCTGCTCTCCAATGCTATGCAGCAGAATCAGAGTCAAAGCCATAAGTCCACCCGCGCCCGTGCTGGGAGACGTGGCACTCGATGCTCGTGTCTACCCCGGAAACCGGCCCTTGGCACTTTTCTTCTCGCCTGCGCAGCCATATGATCATCTCGACCCGGCAATCTGATTGACAACGCTGGTGCCGAACCCTTGCCAGTTTTGCTAGCCCGTACGTATGCGCCCTTCGACTTCAGGAAACATGCAAACGCCTGTTCGCGGTGCGGATCCCCAAATCACGAAAGGCAAAATAACGGTGTCGCAGCGAAGTTCCCCTTCACGTCAGAACGACACGCAACCCGAATGCGTGGGGCACTCCCATGTCCTCGCAAGTGCTCCATCGCATGCGACCGCACGACAAAGCGCCTGTCCGCGACACGGAAGGCTGTGGCGGGCGTGTGGGTGGGTGGGATAGGGCGGGACCGTCTTCTTCGAAACAGCAAGCAGTCGCAGCAATCATCGGCTTCCGTACCGCCGAAGCAGGACACACTTGCGTCACTGTTCCAATCGCGATGCGGCTGGGAGCCGCTTGCACACCCACACCCGCCTGCAGAGCCTCGTTTTTGGTACTCCGATCGAGCAAGCCAACAACGCCATCGACTCACTTTCCGACTCTTAATGAAGATTGCCGAGCTCTGCCGGATCGTGGACGCCAGATGAGACACCGACTTGTGAGAGCTTGAATCTAAGTCGAGGTAGGCCCAGCGCCGAGCTCAATTGAAAACGCCCAGAGCGGCCAAGTGGAGGGTCCTGCCGACGAAATCGCGATTGAGGCGGCCAACGTAACGCGGTTATGGCAGGGCGATGCCACGGTAGAGGATTGCGGCGTGTTGATGTGACGAGCGGCGAAACGCTCTGCGTGATAGCTTCGATATACTCGTGGCGTTTGCGCAGCACGTACACAGGCCCAGCAATTGGGGGATATGTATAGCTTTGCTTTTGCTCTCGAAATGAGAAGGCCTGCGAGTCGGCTGGACCGCCAACAAAGAGGTTGTTAGAGTTTAGGGCGGTGGACCAGAGCAAGCGGCGTGTCTCGATGTGGATCACAACAAGGTGGTCCGGGAAAGTAACCTTGGCTATCGTAATGACGAGTGACTAGGTGGTACGCACTGATTGGTGCATTGGTCAAGCGGGGCGAGGGTGCTAGGTGGAATGGCAAGACTTCAGGTGAAGACGAGCAAGAGGAGCGACTGAGTTGGATGCGTCTGTCCCAAATAAGGGATTCTGCGAACCGAAATGTGAATTGTTGGGAGGTGGATGGATGCAGCGAGGAGGACAAGGAAGGGGAAGACGAGCCCGGGATGTGTTGTGTGGAGAGTCGTGGCGACATGCAGTGGTCTTACTTGCAGGTCAGCAGTGGCCGCATGGAAAGGCTGAACATTTACCATTCGCAGCACATGTATCCTCAGCAAAAGGCAAATTAGCTTGATGGCCGGTGTCTCTCTTTCGGTGCAAAAGGGCAACTCTGGGATAGTACCGTCAGCTCTTTCAGTCGGCTCTTCTCTCACGCCATGCCTCGTGCAGCTGGATAGTCCGATGATTTCACTAACGTCCCGGGCTGATCCAGACCATGCAGCAAGCTTCTTGGACTCAACGGCGCACTTTGATCATGCGTCCGCTGCTGCATGTGCTGCGTGAGTAGCTGTATAGCAGCGTGGTGATGAGGCTGCGTATGGCGCGGAACGTCACAAGGGCAACATGCGAGACGCTTTTGTGCTGCCCTTAGCCTTTTGGCGGTCTGAGACAGCTGACAAGCAATTAAATTGCAGCCTTTGCCTGCTGTGCATGCAGCGACCTTGATCGGACATGCGCTCGCGAGGCTGAATATATCCACGCGGTACCACGATGATGCACCATCACAAGGAAGCGACACTCTGCTGATACCTTGCTGCATACGCGATGGCGACCATCAAAAGTGGATTGAGGCGATAGCCACCTCAAGGTCTTGCAGCTTCGCGAGAAGGAGGACAAGCGAGGTCTCGCAGGCGTCAGCTGTCGCTGCATGGCGACGAGCGAGAGAGGGTGTCTGATCCAAGGCATGTCTCACACGCGACAGAGCAGGTTGATTTTCAGAAAGTTCCGGCACACGTCAAGCCGGCCAACACGAAGGGGGCATATGCAAGCACCAGCGAGAGGGCGTGGCCAAAGGAGCGCAGCGTCGAGGCCAGCAGGCCACCACGACAGGTCGCGAGGAATGCATGGCGCCGTCCCTTTGCTCTAAGAAAGCGGAGCAAAGCAGAACAAGATCTGAGACAGACAGCTGCGAAGCCTACTGGCGGAGAAAAGTGCCTGCTGGACAAGGTGGCCTTGGGCAAGCTATACGGCCAGAATCGCGGCTGTGCAAGCAGCAGACGCACATCAACGACACTGCATGCATGGGTGCGACTGCAGATTGCCCACTACTTGCTCGGCAGCAGCTGCTGAGAAGGCTCTCACTCAACGGAGTAATCTGCACAGCAGCAATCGGCGAGAGGAAGCGCCGGGGCGCCGATACAACTTGATGTCAACCCCGATTCGCGGTCCATTGGGCTTGTGCGGATGAGAAATGCGGCCTGATGGGCACCGGCGTAGATCTCATCAATAAAGGATGAATCATGATTGGAAACCACGCGGTCGAAGGGTCGGTGGCTGATCGCACCACATGCTCCGCTCTGCGCCCTCCAGCATGATCGTGCGCCTAATTGTTCCATCGAGGACGAGGCCGGCAACATCAACGATGCATGCGACACCCGTGGCTCGTATCCATCGCTACGGAACGCCATATGGTCGACTCCGCCATTGACGACTCATCGTGCGTCACGCTCTCTTCCACATTGAGATTTTCTTTCGTTCCACTCACGACTTAGTCTAGGCTGGCTTACAGTAGCCGAGATCACCATGCAAGTACGCGAGCACATCCTCTGCCATGGCTGCCTTTCGCGACTTGACACGCATCTCCTGAGAAGGTGCGGGCGGGCCACGTAAGCCATGCCTCCACCGCAAGGGACGGCCATCACATCGATTGTCTGGCGCAGAGCTCCTAAGTGCCATTGCCGCTAGGGCCTGCGTGGGAATATGCACAGACACTTTCCCTTCATGCCCTCATCCGCATTCTCAAGGCCTGCGCTACAGACCGCAGACATGTAGGCAGCTCATTCGCGATTGGCCTTTCATTACGTGATTGCGCCATTCGTGATTCATGATCCTGGCACACCCAAGGTCGAACGCCGTCTCTATCCGCCAAGCTTCATCAGGCGCGAGCTCGGATGCTGCGGATCGAGGTGGTGGCTCCAGGCCCTCCTACGTTGCTTTGCGCTCGAGATGTGCTCGCGCTGATTCATTCATCCTTAGTCACGGCTTCAGTGGTCAGCCAGCGTACCGTGAGAGGGAGACCGAGTCATGGTACGACAGCTGAGGTCATCAGACTTGGTTGGACTGGAAGCATCAAATGAGTCGGTCAAGTCCCTAATCCTTTTCGCCTCTCGCTCGCGATTTCACATGAGCTTTCTCCGAAAGTTGCGCTAATGCGAGTCTGCGTCGGTCCACGAAGCCTCACCTTTCATGCTGTATCAGCAATCTGCAGCAAGGCGAAGCTGCTGAAAGCTGCTTCCCGAGGCTGATTCATGATACGATTCAGATAACCCTGTCGTCGGTCGACCATGCAGGCTGTGCCCCCCGCTTCAGCCTCCGACACTGTGACTGACAGGCCAGGCAAAAACCGCCTGCGGAGACATCCAGCGACCCACGCACGTGCTGTAGCGGCGCTATTTGTCGCTTATATGAAAAGCCACCCGTAAGGATACAGTTGAGTACATGAGAAGAGGCTTGCTGAAGACCGCGAGGTGCCTGCGCGAGGGCGATAGTCGGACAGCAGCTTACAGGGCGCGAGGGCGCCGGGGCAACCCATCGACCACCTCCGAAAGCCGAGATCTGGGGCGGGTTTCGCCGTCGCTGACGGACTCTTAGGGATGCACTGGAACGCCTTTGCGGGGCCATTGTGATTCGTGGAGCACCTCTTCTTCTCTTGCTCCTCGCCGTCCTTGCACAAGCAAGCTTGCAGTAGCGCTGCACACAGAGTGCTGCGCTACAGCGGAAGACGGAGCGAATTCACCACATCGCTTACGACTTGCGCCGAGCATGGTAGACGACTACAGCATCTTAGCCGCTCCTTTAGCAATCACGAATCTCACCTATAAGACTAAGACTAAGACTACGTAGCGACGTTAAACGGATATAAGACTAAGACTAAGACTCAGAATCAAAGTCGAGAAGCCGCGGGTAGAAGTCCGGCCCGCGCCCATTCACGCGCACCAACTCGTGCCGCGGCAAGCTCAATCAAGAATCCATCTGCTGCGTGAGCGACGCTAGTAGTCGTTCATGGATTGGATTGATTGATTGCATATGCAGTTTCGTTCGAAAAGGGCTCGGAGAATCCAGTTCGCCAGTGCATTCATTCATTCATTCATTCATTCATTCATTCATTCATTTGTTTAACGTCGCATTACATATGTGTTCTTTCGTTCTTTCTCTTTCTTTCTTTCATTTGTTTATTTGTTTGTATTATTTGTTAACGTCGCTACGTACATGTGAACAAATATACTACTACTACTACTACG